GGAAAATGGCGATCACCCAGGATCTATTAGCTTCTTAGTTTAAACACTAGATGTGCTGCAATTTCTGCTCATTGGTCATCTTGCACCATAACAAAGGCCTTCATCCCAAGGATGACACAGCTTCCCATGCAACAATAAAACCAGTACCAACAACAGCAACAACAAAAACCCAGAGATGTCCAAACTGCACTAACCATACTGCTCACACGATGTAACCATTTGAAGGTGAGACACACAATGATTGTTAGAAGATGATTCCACAGCTGAGATGATTCCATAGCTGAGTTGCCAGAATGGAGAAAAAAAGAGAGATGAAGGCTGCTGAAGACCTTGCTATACATTATTAGGGGGATTCACCCATCTTCATTAGACACCACCTGCAATCATTCTTTTTGGAAGCTGTCAGGCAGGGGATGAACAGAAATCTGGGAGCTCTTCATGAACCTGTCTGGGAGAAACCATCGTTGGATTCTAACTCCCTAGAACATGTTCCTTCAGTAATTTTTCCACCCCGTGGGAATCCAACACGGATTGCTAAAGAGCCAGGTCCGCTCCATGAAGCTGTTTGGGAACAGCAACTTTCTGAAGTCCCTTTGGACTTTCCCAGTCCAGAATGGACTCCAGGAGTCATGGCACAGCAGAGATGTCAGGACTGGATGAACAAACAGATAAGCCCTCTTCACGAGCCTGTCTGGAACCAACCATCGGATGCTTTCTCTCCAGAATTGGTGTCACCAATTGTTATTCCTCCTTGGATTTGTCAAAAGGAGCAAAAGTCAGTAACTTCTGGCTTGGGCCAAAAGCCACCAGATTCCTCAGGAAAAGAAGAAAACTCAAAGAAGAAGAAGAAAGGAAATTATCCAGGTCCTCTTCACGAACAAATCTGGGAGCAACCACTCTTGAACACCTCCCTTCCAGATGCTTTTCCCCCAGTGCTTACATCAACCTCTGGCTATCAGAAAGAAGAGGAGAAAGCGCCCAAATCATTGTATGATATGAACTCAAAGATCTCTGGATCTGTCCCTCCAGAACAAAGCTCATCCAATATAAATCAATCTGGAAGTTCTAAGAAGGAGAAGGGGAGGTACCCAGGCCCTCTTCACGAGGCCACTTGGGAGCAGCCTGTCCTGGAACCATCACTGGGTTCTTCCTTTCTAATACAGTATCCATCTGTTGCCATTCCAACTTCCACGCAAGAAAAGATGAACGAGACAGATTCTCATCCTGAGCAGACTTCACATTCCTCCCAGTCAAAGCAGATTCCATTACCACCCAAGGAACCCAGCAACAGTCAAGTGTACGGAGGGAGATACTTAGGTCCACTTCATAAGACTAACTGGGAGGAACTACCAGTCACTTTTACCCCACTCTTAAAGACTCCGTTAGTGTCCATTCCACCTGGCAGTTGCCAGACCAAGACAGACAGACAGGAAACCCATCCCAACGCATCAGGTTCCTTCCCCAAAAATCACAGTCTACCAATAGCCGTCAAGCCTGTTAGTTCTTCCAAAGAGAAGGAGAAGCAGCTAGGACCACTTCAAGCCCCAGTCTGGTACAGATTGAACCGACATCCAGTCCCACTCCATCAACCTGCTTGGGAATAAAGACCCACTGAGCCTTTTCTTCCAAGGATGAGCTCCATCAATAGTCAACCACTGAAAAGCTGTAAGAAGAAAGGAGATGCGATTAGGATCACAAGCGATGGATTGCTTCCTCTTTGATTCTAGAATCGGATTCCACCAGTCATCGTTTCCACCATTCTGGCATTAAAAACAGTGAGAATTGGGTCTCAAAATGGCCAGTTTCTTCCTTTCCTCCACCATCCCCAATTCCTGGGACATAAAGGGCCTTGGTAGTACAGTGGTCTAAAGCACCCTGTTATTAAGAACAACTGCCTGCAATTACTGCAGGTTCGAATTTCGCCAAGGCTCAAGGTTGACTCAGTCTTCCATCTTTTCTAAGGTAGGTAAATTGAGGACCCAGTTGTGGGGGCAATAAGCTGACTTTGTATAAATATACAAAAGGATGAAGGCTATTGCTGAGTGCATTGTAAGCCGCCCTGAGTCTCCGGAGAAGGGCGGCATATAAATCAAATTAAAAAAAATAATAATTACATGATGGCAAAAGCCCTTCTGTGAATTAGAAGCAGATATTCCTTTAAAGCAGGGGTGTGAAACCAGAGGTAGCATTCACCAGGTTCTGAACAGATCTGGAGAACCGGTAGCGGAAATTATGAGTAGTTTGGAAAACTGGTAAATAGCACCTCTGACTGGCCCCGCCCCCATCTATTCTCTGCCTCCCAAGTCCCAGTTCATGAGAAGGAAATGGGGATTTTGCAGTATCCTCCCCTTGGAGTGGGGTGGGAATGGAGATTTTACAGTATCCTTTCCCTGCCACGCCCACCAAGCCATGCCACCCTCACCAAGCCACGCCCACAGAACCGGTAGTAAAAAATGTTGAATCCCACCACTGTGTCAAACTCGATTTCATTGAGGGCCGCATCAGGGTTCTGTTTGACCTCGGGGGGCCGGGGTGGGCGTGGCCAGGGTGGGCGTGGCCAGTTCAACCTCACGCATGTCAGGGACACCTTTGGCGGCCCGAGCACTCTGCCAGCGAAAACGGGCTCTTGAGCTCTGTTTTAGGCTGCGACGGCCTCCTGCAACCCTCTGCCCGTGAAAATAGAGCTTGGGAGGGTTGCGTGCACAACCCTTCGCTGTTTCCAGGGTGGTCCCATTGACTAGATCTAAGCACCCTGTGTGCCGGATCTGGCCCCCGGGCCTTGAGTTTGACACCCCTGCTTTAAATTACTCATAGACCTCAGTGTTGGAAACACTTCCTAGCAAATATCAGACCCCGAAGTTGAACACGGTTCCAATTGTAGTGCTAAATTCCCCAGTAGCAATCGGAGTCTCCCCCAAAGGAATACTTGGCACTTGGGGGGTGGATCTGAAGAGCTGCAGCAGGAAGTCTCCTCTTTATCCCTTGGCATCTTCCAATCTATTCCAATATAGGTAGTCTTCGACTTACAACCCTTCATTTAGTAACCGTTCAAAGTTATCACAGCACGGGGAAAAAACAGTCTTATGACCCTTTTTCACACTTAGGAACACTGCAGCATCAGTCAGAAGGTCAGGACACTGCAATAATCATCATAAATATGAATCAGTTGCCAACGGTCTGAATTTTGATCATGCAACTGATTCATAGTTATGACGCTTGCAGCGTCCCGACCTCCTGACAAGCCAAGTCAGTGGGGAAAGCTCGATTGACTTAACAAGCCTGTCACTAACCTGGACAACTTTTACCAAACGGGGCAAAAAACCCCACCGAACAAACGTCTCACTTAGCAACAGAAACGCTGGGCTCGATTGTGGTCATAAGTCAAGGGCTCCTCCTAAATCACACAAAACTGGGAAGTGTTTTTTTGGCTAGGTGGCTCAGTGGCCAAGACGCTGAGTTTGTCGATCAGAAAGGTTGGCGGTTCGAATCCGTAGGTCTCCTGCGTGAGCAGGGGGTTGGTGGAACAAGATGACCTCCAAGGTCCCTTCCAACTCTGTTACTGATCAGAAAGGTCAGAAGTTCGGCGGTTCGAATCCCTAGTATATTTTATTTTATTTTATTTATTTTGCCAAGCATATATAAGATAACAGATAAAAGTATAAACATGGATAAAGGTTATAAAATGTATAAAAGAGTATAAGCATATATAGGTCTCCTGAGTGAGCAGGGAGAGTTGGACTAGATGACCTCTAAGGTCCCTTCCAACTGTTACTGTTACTGATCAGAAAGGTCAACAATTCAGTGGTTCGAATCCCTAGTATATTTTATTTTATTTTATTTTATTTTATTTATTTTGCCAAGCATATATAAGATAACAGATAAAAGTATAAACATGGATAAAAGTATATATACAGTATAATAACTTTTTATTTGCGGTCACAGACCAAAATACAAATATAATTGCAAAAGAACGTGGGGAAAGTAACATCATAAACAGGATGAAAGTTATAAAATGTATAAAAGAGTATAAGCATATATAGGTCTCCTGCGTGAGCAAGGTGGGGTTGGACTAGATGACCTCCAAGGTCCCTTCCAACTCTGTTACTGATCAGAAAGGTCAGAAGTTTGGCGGTTCGAGTCCCTAGTATATTTTATTTTATGTTATTTTATTTTGCCAAGCATATATAAGATAACAGATAAAAGTATAAACATGGATGAAAGTATATATACAGTATAACAACTTTTTATTTGCGGTCACAGACCAAAAGAGCCTTGATAGTACAAGGGTTTAGTGCGCCCTGTTATTAACACAGCTGCCTGCAATTTCTGCTGGTTCGAATCTCTCCAAGGCTCAAGGTTGACTCAGCCTTCCATCCTTTCTAAGGTAGGTGAAATGAGGACCCAGTTTGTGGGGGCAATAAGCTGACTTTGTATAAATATACAAAAGTATGAAGGCTATTGCTTAACGCAGTGGTCCCCAACCCCCGGTCCGCGGACCGGTGCCGGGCCGTGGAGTACCTGGCACCGGGCCGCGCAGCGGCCGGGGGACATGAACGCTGCAGCGCAAAGGCTCCTGGGCCGTGCGCAATGGGCCGTGCGCAAAAGCTCCTGGGCTGTGCTCCCACCCCTGCGCGCGCTCAGTGGGCCGCGGCGATAAAAAGGTTGGTGACCACTGGCTTAACGCATTGTAAGCCGCCCTGAGTCTCCGGAGAAGGGCGGCATATAAATCAAATTAAAAAAACAAAAAATACAAATATAATTGCAAAAGAACGTGGGGAAAGTAACATCATAAACAGGAGAAAAGTTATAAAATGTATAAAAGGGTATAAGCATATATAGGTCTCCTGCGTGAGCAGGGGGGGGGGTTGGACTAGATGACCTCCAAGGTCCCTTCCAACTCTGTTACTATTAAACTTCAGAACGGGAAAATAGGGGAGGGGGGCGTTGGGGCTTGAGCCGAACCTCCTTTTTTTTTTTGGAGAGCGGGAAAGCGTTACAACTCGCCACCGCAAACGGCAGAGGCCGAGTTTTGCGGGGCCGGGCGTCGCGCTCGGGAGCTGGGTGGGGAGCCCCGAACCCGGCGCTAGAGGGCGCCGCAGCCTCTCCGTCTCTGCCCCGCTGCCTCCTCCCAGCCGCTGAGCGAATGGAAAGGGACCTGGAGCGCCCGTTTCCTGAGCGGGGGAAGGAGCGGGGCGCGCGCTCTGATTGTTACGGTCCCGGCGAGCCGCGGGCGACTCTGGGCTGGAGCCGGAGGGAGGAGGAGGAGGAGGAGGAAGAGGCGGAGGAGGCGTCCCCCAGCCGCCATCCTTGCACAGCTCGGGCCGGCCTCCGCCCTTCCGAATTGGGTTGCATCTCTCTCCCGGGGCCGCTTCGCCGGTGCTTCTTGCAAGCCCCTCCGGCTCTCCTCCTCCTCCTCCTCCTTCCAGCCGCTGCGTTGCTCCGGGTTTCTGGTTGCATCGGAAACAAAGGAATAATAATAAGAATAATAATTAAAAAAAAAAAAAAGGCACTTGCACACACCCCCCCACTTTCCCGCTCCTCCCCGTCCCTCCCCTCCCCTCTTCCGTCCCTCGGGGCTCCCGGACGCGTCTCGCAGCCGCGGCGGGCGGGCAGCCGGATCGGCGGTGCCTTCCTCGTCCAGCCGGGAATCCCAAAAAGAAAAGAGAAAAAGGATGCCTCGGCTGCAGCCGTCGAGGCCCCGCAGCCAGGCAGGGCTCCCGCTACTGCCGCCGCCGCCGCTCCTGCTCCTCCTGCTCCTGGCCGGCCACGTCGCCCGGGTAAGTGACACCTCGGGTCTGCCGCGCGCCTTCCAGGCATCCCGGGCTGGGCGAGCTTTTATTTTTTATTTTTTAATTAATTTGGGGAGGGGGGGTCTCTCTTAAACCCGTCTTTTTTCTGCCAGGATTCTCCCTCGCCTGCATCGCGTCTTCCGTGGGTGGTCGGGGAAAAAAGGAGAGGAGGGGGTGCTCTTTTTTCCCCCCTCCTGCCTTCAGGCCTTTCTTTTTTTTTTAAAGCCCCCCCCCTTTAAAAAGCGGGGAGGGGGCTTTAAAAAACTGAAGCGGGGAGGGGGCTTTAAAAAGATGAAGCGGGGAGGGGGCTTTAAAAAACTGAAGCGGGGAGGGGGCTTTAAAAAGATGAAGCGGGGAAGGGGCTTTAAAAAACTGAAGCGGGGAGGGAGCTTTAAAAAACTGAAGCAGGGAGGGGGCTTTAAAAAACTGAAGCGGGGAGGGGGCTTTAAAAAGATGAAGCGGGGAGGGGGCTTTAAAAAGATGAAGCGGGGAGGGGGCTCGCTCTAATATGCGAGGCTCCCGACTTCCCTGAGCGAATTGGGTAGGTGGGTGTGGGGCGTTTTTTTTCCAAAGAAGCCAATGCAGGGGTCGCGAGGGGTTCCCAAGGCGGTAAAGCAGTCCTGCTGAATTGGGGAGGGTAGCGGTGGGCGCGGTGGGTGGTGGTAGTGGTGGCAGGACCCCTCTTCGGCATTTGGCTGCCGAGAGAGGGGTGGAGGGAGGAGGATGGGGAGGGGGGGTGTCCTGGAGACGGCTACCCCGGAGTCGGGTCTCTTAAGGGCTCCTCTGCTTAAAAAGAGCATCCCTCCCTCCTTTGGGCCAGGAGGGCGTGTGTGGCTTGCGGGATGGGGGGGTGGGGGGGAGGGGGCAGATGGGGAGAAAGAGGGGAGTTTGAATGAGCAGCAGCTGCCGTGGGGGGGGGGGGGGGGGGGGGGGGCCCGGGGGGGGCGGTTTGGTTTGGAAGGATTAGCCAGTGCCTTTACACGCCCCCCTTTTTTTGGGGAGGGGTGTTCCATCACTCTCCTGCACCCGAGAAGAGGATGGGGTCGGCTTTGCTGAACCGCTCCGAAGCAAGTCAAAGGGAGTGCCCATCTCTCTCCCCATGGAGTGAATGGGTCTAGTTAGTAGTAGATGCTTGGGCCGGATTGATTCGGAAAGAAAGCCGGGAGTGGGGAGGGGTCCCGAATCCTTGTAACATTCCCGGGTCAGCAATGCTGAAGATTGCAGCTTTGTTGGGAGAATTAAAGACAACCCCTCCCTCCCCTTTCCTTTCCTTTCCCCAGGCAGATGTCCTGATTTGTAAGCTCTAGTTGCAAAAAAAAAAAAAAGTCTTTATAGAAAGGCGAAGAGAAGGTATTATCTCCCCCCCCCCAATTCCATCTCACAGCTTGAATCTGAATGGGGGAGGGGTGGTGGTCTAGCCACGCCAAAAAAAAAAAAAAAAAATCACCTGCAAATCTTCCAGCTCTCAGCTCTTTTTCCTCTGACCTGCTACAAACTCCCCTTTTCGGGAGGGAAGGGTGATGGGAGAAGGTGGGAGGTAGGGTGGGGTGGGGTGGGGGGGAAAGGTGAGCTGTGACGTCATTTGAAGGTCGATGGGTTTGCACAGAAGGAGGCATTTTCCCCCCTTCCCTCTTCCCTTCTTGCTTTGCTGTGTAGCACGGGTGTCTTGTGGGAGGGTGGAAACAGAGGAAAGGATTATGTATGGGATTATACATAGGACGATATTTGCTCGGTGGGTCAAAGTCTGCAGGGAAATCTATAGGGAGGGTTGAGTCGGGTGGGAGTGGGAGCCTAGCTGTAAATCCTCCCTGCTTTGCTGTTCGGGCTTTCTGGGCTCGGCACCCCCTCTCGTCCAGCAGAAGCAAAGTAAAAGTAATACAAGAGAAAGAGCATCCCATACAGAATTTAATCTTCCAGAGTGGTTAAAGAACAGCCCACTCCCCTATCTAAAGAGACCCCTGGCTTCCTCATGGGCAAAAGCTGGGAAGGAGTGGTCTTGATGGGGGGGTGAAGAAATGGAAATAGGGGCTGTTCATTGAGTTCCAGGGGACCCCCCATTCCTTCCTGTAGAGGGTCGCTTGCTTGGCTTATCTTTCTCCACGACAGTGATCTTCCCATGGTCAGGGGGGTCCCATGTTATACTCTCCCTCCCGTGTTTTTTAGGCCGCCTTGAAGCCTGCAGGGGGTGTGGCTGGTGTCGGGGATGACATCATCAGAATGGGGCGTGGCTCAAAGCATCCATCCTTTTACACTTTGAGGGGAGGTGGGGGGGGGAAAGTAGGGTTTAATAGTAGAAGGGTGTGTTAAGCCTATTGTTTTCACCGGTCCTAGTAAAGAGTGGTCCCCCCCAAAAATAAAAATCAAATCAAATCAAACTTCTTGGGTGTGCGGAGGATGTTCGCCAGTGGTACATGATCTGGAGTAGGTGGGACTTGAGGAGACCATGAATTCTGAAGCTGTGATGTTATGGAAGAGGTATTTTTTTTTTAACAAGGGGGTGTGTGTGGCTTTCAGAGCCACTGTTGCTGGTTAAGAGCCTCGGTGGTGCAGCGGACTATGTGCTGTTGAGTGCTAGTACTTAGCTGCCAGCTGCCTGCAATTAATGCGAATTCAAATCTCACCAGGCTCAAGGTTTGACTCAGCCTTCCATCCTTTTTGAGGTAGGTAAATTGAGGACCCGGATTGTGGGGGCAATAAACCAGCTTTGTATAGAACAACACCGCTTGGGGAGGGGTGTTGCAGGTTGCAAGTATGCAGGTTATTGCTATAATGCATTGTAAGCTACTCTGAGTCTACGGAGAAGGGCGGCATATAAATTGGACTAATAAATAAATATTAAATAAATAAGAGTGATAAAAACAGCATCCTGTCTGGCAGGATAGCATCTTTAACCAGGCTGGCCTAGACAAATGCAGTATGACCTCAGTGGGGCGGTGAATGCCTAGGGAAGAGACCCGGGCTCAGTGATTGAGTCCATACTAGGGGTGAAATCTACTTACCTTCCTTACCGGTTCGGAAGCGTGTGTGCGCGTTACAGGCGCGCACAGACCTTCTGCACATGTGCAAAATCTTCTGCGCATGCGCAGAAGGGAAAAAACACATTACTTCTGGGTTGACACCCGGCCCGGTGGGCGGAGCTATGCTCCACTGTCGCTACCGGATCGCCGAACTACCGGCCAAGATCGCTACCGGATCAGGCGATCTGGTCCGATCTGGGAGCATTTCACCCCTAGTCCATACTATAGGTATGGTCCTCAATTTATGGCCACTACTGGCACCAGCCAAAGGATTATTAAGTGAGCTGTGCTTGATGTTACGATCTTTTTGCCATGGTTGTTAAGGGATCAGTGCAGTTGTTTCCCCCTTGACTTTGCTTGTCGGAAACTGATACAGATTCAGATTCACAGAGTTGGAAGGCACCTTGTAGGTCATCTAGTCCAACCCGTCGCCCAAGCAGGAGACCCTACACCAGTGTTTCTCAACCTTGGAAGCTTGAAGATGGGTGGACTTCAACTCCCAGAATCCCCCAGCCAGCAGCGGATTTTGGGAGTTGAAGTCCACCCATCTTCAAGCTACCAAGGTTGAGAAACACTGCCCTACACCATTTCTGACAGATGGCAGTCCAGTCTCTTCTTGAAAGCTTCCAGTGATGAAGCTCCCACAACTTCTGAAGGCAACTTTTGTTCCATGGGTTGATTATTCTCTGGCTGGGAAGGTCACAAGGGGTGATCACGTGATGCTAGGATGTCACAACCACTATAAATACAAATAGTCCTCGACTTAGAACAGTTTGCTTAGTGACCGAAGTTACAGCGACACTGAAAAAAGTGACTTAGGACCATTTCTCACACTTAGGACCGTTGCAGCATCTCCATGGGGGTCATTCAGATTCTTGGACAACTGACTCACATTTAGGAAGGTTTCGGGGTCCCGAGGTCGTGCGATTCCCTTTTTGCAACCTTCTGACAAGCAAAGTCAATGAGGAAGCCGGATTCACTTAACAACCGTGTTACTAATTTAACAACTGCGGTGATTCACTTAACAACAAACGTGGCAAGAAAAGTTGTACAATGGGACAAAACTCGCTTAGCAGATTTACTCACTTAGCAACATAAACTTTGGGCACCATTGTGGTGGTAAGTTGAGGACTACCTGTACTGTGCTGGTTGCCAAGCACCTGAATTTGGATCGTGTGACGGTGGGGGATGCTGCAACCGTTGCAAGTGTGAGTCATACATCGCTTTTTTTCAGTGCTGTTGTAACTACAAACCGTCACTGAACGAGTGTTTGTAAGTCGAAGACTTCCTATACACACACGAAGAAGATCTCAAGATCTTTCTCTAGTAACATACAATGGACAAATCCTAAGTCTAGAGCGATAATGGAGAACCTATGGCATGCATGCCCAAAGTGGCATGTGAAGCCATGTCACCCGGCACACGCGACCTTGCCTGTTTGTCTTCCGGGTTTCTGGTGCTCGTGCGCATGCGATGATCAGCTATCCTTCGCACATGCGGCAGTGCTGAAAACTGGTGTGTGCATGCACGCCGGCCAGCTGATTGTCGGGTGTGCATGCATTCCGGTACCCGGAAGTTCAGCTTTTCTGGAGCGCAATTCCTTCATGCAGGTGGCAGTACCAAAAACTGGCCTGTGCATGAGTGCCGGCTAGCTGATCATCGGCACACATATGTGTTAGGACCTGGAAGCTTGGCTTTTCCAGAGCGCGACCCCGATGACTGTGCGCGCGTGCGCACACGATGTTTCCGTGCAACCTTTTCGGCACTCGGTGCTGAAAAAGTTTGCCATCACTGGTCTAGAGACTCCTGATCTGGGCTACAGCAGTTGTACTATGTATCCTGTAGCCTTCTGCCCTGATTTCATGATGTTGGCCGTGGTTCAGATAGTTGGGCCACTCTATTTGCCAAGATGACTTCATGTTCTACGTTCAGTTTACCTAAATATTGGGAAGGATCATCCTGTGGCAGAAT